GGCGGCTATTCGCACGAGAACGGTGTGGACGCGAACGCCGCGCGCTCCCGAGACGCGAAAAAGCGCGCACAGCGGCCTCTCGCGGATCCGCGAAAACAAAAAACCGCTCGAATACGTACCTCCCGGGACGTAAATTGCGGTCCGCAGAAACGTCCGCGGGGCTACTTTTCCACAATGAGCCCGGGTTGGGATGTCAAATTCACTTCAGACGCGGGTTCGTGTGATGGGCAGGGCTTCTGTCTGGCTAACATGGATTTTATGAAGAAAATAACAGTGTTTATGTGCTTTATGAAGACTGATAAACAGCGTCGATACGTTTAGGGCCGTGTCTGAGTCCACTGCATCCTTTCAGAGGTGAATCCAGCTCTGTGAGCTCATAAACTCCTCCAGACCTGGATGACGGAGGCTTTCAGCGGGGCTTCTGACTGAGCCAAGCCCAGTTTGATGAACTGTTGTCGGTGAAGGCTGGAGGATTTCCCTCGGAACACCGACAACAGGTTCTACGTCACAATCACGCCCCCACAATAGCAAGCTTCTGATTGGTTAACGCGGCGCGAATGTATGCTTAAGTTCAGATTTTCGAACTCGAGGGATTCGCGCGAAACCCTCGTTAAGTGCGTCAAACGCTCAATTTGCCCCGCGCCATTCGCGCAATTTGCATCATTCGCGTGTTTCGCTCCGCAGGATGTCTATTCGCGCGTTTGCATTGACTTAACATGTAAATCACTCGCGCTTGACACGCGTTCCGCATCTGGTGTGAACGCAGCATCAGACAGCGATTATCCTGTACCAAAATGGTAATAGTTTGATTGCAGTGGTTACACGGCTATACTGCACTTCAATAATGCAACTAAAATCGGCATTCCACATGTCTTAATTCGATTCCTGTTCAGTTCCATTTTGACTTTAATAAATTAAATTAATCAAAAATCTGTTTACATGGTCGACTCTTAATCAGAGTATTGTCTTAATCATATTAAAATCAGATTGTCGGTGTCCATATTAAACATACTCACTGCTACGATGTTTTTTAGATGAACAAATATCTGCAAACACATTTTGGTATTTATATGATTCAGAAGAGTCAAAGCCTTACATACAGCACCTTTAACCATTTTCTCTCTGGTGAAGGGTTCAGCTTTTCCACTTACAGAATGTGCCATGCAAATGGTGCATGACACAGCTGACTCTTAAAGGGAATGAGCTCGCTAAGCTCTTAAACACATTAAGAGAATAAAGGACAACCCTTGAAAGACACAATCTACATTGTAAAAGCACAAATATACAAATATAGGTGAATTAAACTGAATTTTAGACCAAACGCCTGACACCTTTTTGTAGTCCTTAAATTAGCATGCTGCAGTACAGTCATGAGTGTGTGCAGATGATCTACCTGAGGACAGCAGGTCGAGTGTTTCCATTTCTTAAGTCTATTATTGGATCCATAGATACAGCACTCTTCATAGACACACAGCTGGGCTCTGCTTCTGTTCTCGTCTGATGAACTGAGCTAAAACAGAGGAGATTAGAGTTTAGCACTGCACACACTGGATTTAACACACCAGATATTCTAAAACTCCTCAACAGCACTTTGTCCACTATCCAGCAGAGCTCAGCTCCAACCTCAGACTTAATACTTTTCCATTCAATATTTGTAAATTCAATAAATCAAAAGCAAATTAGCTGATTCATTTATGATCAAAATATTCATTAGTTGCAGACCTATTAGAGCTTTTACACTCGACACTCTGAAAATGTCCTGCTCGACCCATAGACTGGTCACTCCACATAGACGCACAGCTGGGCTCTGCTTCTGCTCTCTTCTTCTTGTGTGAGCTAAAACACAGAGGATTAAAGTTCAACACTGCACACATCATTATAAAAAATATCATTAAACACTTTATTATTATTATTATTTCCACTATATGTAAGCAAAAACCTTCTAGATGTGTGTTACATTATCAGATGAAGAGAAAACACACACAAAAAAAGAGCACTAGTAGAAAACAACATGGAAATGTTATGTAATGATTAGCACCTGTATCCTGTATTTAAATCCTGATCCACAGAAGAGTGTGTGTCCTCCATGATGGATCTGAAGAGTCTGATCTCCAGCAGAACCTCTAGCAGAAACAATCACAGATCTAAAATCAATGCTGAAGCAGCGTCTCTCTGTACGTGTCTGTGGGATGAGCAGGTTTGGAAATGTACATGAAGCGATTATAAGAGTGTAATTTGCTCAAATAAAATATAGTTTTGTTTTAAAATATAAAAGAAATTATAAACAAAGTGTAATATCATTCTAGGGACAGAAAACGTGACATTTCTGTAGTGTGACCGTGTGTGTGTGTGTGTGAGATTACATGTAGGATCGTAATGTGATTTATGTAAAGGTGTGACTTTGAAATCACTGCAGAAGGCTGTTCATCATCAGAACCAGTTAAACCAGAACCACTTCAGAAAAACAAATGAAACCGGTCTGACAGGTGAAACTCTTCAGCTCATTTTTAATCATGTCAGACACAGATTTTGAATCGACTATACTGTAAATCACTATTGTGATATAAAGCTACTCGGCCCTTCTTCTCCACAAATGTTCGCTCATAAAACAAACTGAATGCATTAATAGATGCTGAGTTTTCTACATTTAAGAGCTTCTGTAAGTCTGTGTTCAACACTCGTGTGAGGAGCACAGTCTAAGAATTACAGACTCACTCATGAACACACAGATCACTAATGACCAGTGGCACCATTACTTGCCTAAAAATGTAGTGCAAGTAGAGTAAGAGTATCTGCTGTGAATATTACTCAAAGTATGAGATAGAAGTAGTTTCAAACGTAGTCAAGAGTAGTGGGTATATATCTGTATAAAGCCGATGCATTTACATGTCATATGTGCATATGTGTGTGTAAACGTAATATTCTGTAGTTTATCGAGTGATTGCCCAGCAGGCACATAGCATCATCAGACGTTAATATTAGGTTAGATTTAGGTTGTGATGTCAGGTGATCAAAATTCAATGTCTAGCCAGCGTCTGAGGACAACGTTATTTTGATGTCCAATAATGACGTTGATATTTGGTTGATTTTAGGTTGTTAGAAAGTGACCAAAATCCAACATGGAGCCAACATCTTAAACCATCGTCAAATACTGACATTTGTTTATCAGGTATGGCAACCAAAATCCAACATCTGATAGAAGTCATCCACACAACGCCAAGCTGTAACATCATTAGACGTTGATATTTGGTTAATTTTAGGCTTGACGTTGGATATTGACGTCGGCCTGATGTTGAGTTCTGATGTAAACCTGATTTTCACTTCCAAACATAACATATGGAAAATGTGGTATCAATATGTGCAGAATTATTAAAGGAATATAACAAACACAGTCACATGACAATGCCATCAATGCAGCAGAAGTTATCAGCAATTTTCTAAATTTCTTTATAACTTTTGGGCAAAACTGAGCCCTTTTAGGGCATGGTGTTAAAGATGGACACCAATTTTTGTGTTGATACCTAAAATCAAGCATATTTCGACAAACTTCAATAAGGTCGACGCCCAAAATGGCGAACATGGGAGAATTGGATATCATTCAACTCAGAATGGCTCTCTGAATGTAAAGAGACCAATATTGTGAAATTTGGAAACAGCGTTATTGAGATATAAGCCAAAAGAGCAGTTTTTCATATCTCCTGACCACTAGGTGGCGCTGCAGACTAACACACAGCAAGTTTGGTGCAAATAGAGTTAGGTGTTGCCGAGATATAGCCTCGAGTATGATTTTGCGTGCTTTATGACGAATTAAATTTAACGTTAATCGACAACAATTTAAGTAATCGTCTTGAATTCCATAACTTTTTGCCCTCATGGTCTGAAAATTATCCGAGCTAATTTTGTTGAAAATTGGACAAACTGTATAAGATAACTTTAAAACAATTAAAGATTGAAAAAACTTAACAATTTTTTAAATTTGGTGTCAGATTGAATTACAACAAGCCAAGGATTCAGAGAACGTTAGAATAATGATTCTGTGGTCTACGGTTCAGAAGTTATAAGCTTTTCAAAATTGCTACTTTGGACAAGTTGTGGCGCTAGAGAGGTTGAGTTAGACGGTCCAAACTTGCTGTGGGTTTATTCATCAGGTCACCTATAATCGTTTCAAAAGCTCATGCTTATTCAAAACAAACATAAGGCAAAGCCTAGCATGAGCAGAGATCCAAATAATGACACAAGCTGAGGGAAAAGAGCTTGTAGGACAGGCAGAATGTGTATTCTACTGTGTGTATACGTTTGCTATAAACTGGTTGTTTTTGTTCCAGTCACAAACATTAAATGTTTAAATATCTGTTAAATATGGCACTGCTTATATTATTTCCCCATCTGTACACCAATGTAAGCAGTGAGTGTGCGTGTCTGTGGGTGGGGCTGTGTCAGTGTGGACTAATGTGGCTGCAGTGCCAGGGCTGATGTTTAGTCCCAGTCTGCCCCTGAAATGTGTTGAGGTAGCTCATTATGAGGAGATTTACCTTCAGTGTGTGATCTGATTGGTCAGGAATCACAGGACTGATTTTTCTAATCCACATAGACAGGAAAACATACAGTAGTGACTGCAGATTGAAGGAAAATAGTGGAGTAAAAGTATTGATACCGTACTGTAAATACACTCGAGGGAAAGTAAAAGTACACATTTTATTACCTAGTAAAGTGCAAATGCTGAGGAAAACTACTTGATTACTGTAGTTTGGGTACTTGTAATGTGTTAGTTTACACCACCGCTGCTAATGAACACACAGATCACTCATAAATCACAGAGATGTCAGTATCAGAGTCCTGTGATCGTCTTTCAGAAACACACTCGACATTAAACAGTGGACAGTAAATGATCAGAATGTCTTCAGCTCAGCAGCGAAGTGTCAGAAACACAGAGAGATGATCGACCGATTATAAGACGACACTCACAGACGATATAAAGTACAGAAAGAGCAAACTCTCACCTCAGATAATGCCTGCAGATCTCTCTGTTCCTCCGCTGAACTGTCGAGTTGAACAACAGATCTGAAAATTCTTTCACTTCTGAAAACACATCAAACTGGTTTGAGAAAAAAACAACGACAACACATGCCACATGAAAAACACAGACAATCTATCTATCTATCTATCTATCTATCTATCTGTCTGTCTGTCTATCTATCTATCTATCTATCTATCTATCTATCTATCTATCTATCTATCTATCTATCTATCTATCTATCTATCCGTCTATCTGTCTATCTATCTATCTATCTATCTATCTATCTATCTATCTATCTATCTATCTGGAATTGAGCTTTTTGCTCCACTTCGACAGTCTTCCTCAGTCGCAGAAAAGTTAAAGAGATGTGTATTGGGCGGACATTATATATATAAACACAGTTAACCTGCAGTTATATAGCATATACTGTCCTTCAATAAAGATGATGTCTGTGTGTACATGTTCAATGAAGTGTATTTGTGTATTAAGTGTATGTGCTGTCCTCGAAGGTTGGCCTCAACTCTTCACAGGTCTTGGATCACATCAATAGCATCTCTACAGGCCTCAGCATGAGTATCCCCAGGGGGAAATAGAGAGATGAACTAGTTAGGGTAGCTGCTGTTCATAATGTATATGAACTAAAGATATTAAACATCAAGGCCAAAATGAAGCGCTACATGACAAGAGTCATTGCCAAACATAGAAGCAAACATATGACAAACGTCTGGTGCATTAAGACAGGAGGAGTGTGTCCTACAGGTGGTTTGTCAATCCCACTCACCCGCATGGGGCACACTCATGAGTGTATGCTTTACTAAACAGATAGGTCTTTAATCTAGTTTTGAATTAGGAGAGTGTGTCTGAGCCATTATTATCAGGAAGGCTATTCCAGAGTGTAGGAGCCATAAAGGAGAAGGCTCGACCTCCTTTACTTGACTTTGCTATTCTAGGTACTACCAGAAGCCCTGAGTTTTGAGATCTTAAAGAGCGAGTTGGATTGTAGCGAGACAGAAGGTTGGTTTGATAAACAGGAGCTAGATTATTTACAGCTTTATAGGTAAAAAATCAATACAGAACTTAAAGCGTTACAGTAATCTAATCTAGAGGTCATAAAGGCATAAACTAGCTTTTCTGCATCTGCGATTGATAGCATATTTAGCGATATTTCTCAGATGAAAGAAGGCAGCTTTTTGTGACATGGGATATATGATTATCAACAGTTAAAATATGACACCCAAATCTTTTATAGTAGCGCTAACGCTAACTCTGTATCCCTCTAATTGTAGATTGAGTTGCGAGATCTGCTGTGTGCAAGATTTAGGCCCAATAAGTAATAATTCTGTTTTGTCGGAGTTTAAGAGAAGAAAATTGTTGGTCATCCAGTCTTTAATGTCTTTGATACACTCAGTTAGTTTAGACAGTTCAGACGTCTCGTCAGGTTTAGTTGAAATATATAGTTGAGTATCATCTGCATAGCAGTGAAAGCTGATCCCATGTCTTCTAATAATGTCTCCCAGTGGTAGCATGTAAATTGTAAACAGTAAAGGGCCTAAAACTGATCCTTGAGGCACACCATACTTAACTGGGCTGACTGGTGAAGGCTGTCCATTAATATTTACAGTAATCTGCCTGGACAGCCATTGCAAGAAAAGGGAAACTACCATTTGAAATCCAGTCAAAGAGCCCAAGCAAATCAACCATCTTTTCCACAATGGTGAGTTGAAAAATACATTTTCGTTGTTGGTTTTTGCAAAATTCAAATGAATTACTCCCAGGGCTGTTTATATCGAAGTTGATATTTAGTCGCCCCATGTTGGTGTTTCATAACATCTATTTTTTATGAGGTGGGTCATTAGCCGAACGCTCAACCCCCAACCTGGAGCATCAAGACATACACTACGGCCAATTTACCTTACCCAGTTCCCCTATAGCGCATGTGTTTGGACTGTGGGGGAAACCGGATCACCCGGAGGAAACCCACACCAACACGGGGAGAACATGCAAACTCCACACAGAAACACCAACTGACCTAGCCGAGTTACTTTAACTCAATTTAAAGGAGCAAATACACTCTGAGCTGAGCAAATGTTACTCAGAGGATTCTGCTGTGTAGCAGCTTATCTTATATTAAACTGGACTCAATGAAAGACTTTCTCCAGCTGATTTCACTGAATATACTCTATAGAGCAGGGGTCACCAATCTCAGTCCTGAAGGCCCGGTGTCCCTTCAGGGTTTAGCTCCAACTTGCCTCAACACACCTGCCTGGGTGTTTTAAGTATCCCTAGCATGACCTTGATTAGCTTGTTCAGGTGTGTTTGATTAGGGTTGGAGCTAAAATCTGCAGGACACCGGCCTGCCTGGAACAAGTTTGGTGATCCCTGCTATATACACTGTGGTGTTTGTGTCTTCATAAGTGTGCATTTTCACTGTTTCAGGATCAGGTGTTCAGTGGAAGGAGGAAGCAGTCCTCCAAATAAACCTGTTTTATAAGTGATGTGCATTCTTCAAGACATAAACAGGTTTCTTCATGTTTCTCAGCACCTTTAATTAGCAGGAAACACAGATGAAAACTCAACTTGAACGTCCCGCTCTTCATTTAGTGATTAAACACTGTAAGATGCAGCAGAGCATCAGTCAGACAGATGAACACATCAGAGTCATGTGCTGAACACTGAGAGTTACACTGCTGCTGATCATTACTGCAGATTCAGCATTTACTCACATATGTGTGTGTGAGGGAGATCTCTGTATGTGTGTGTGTCTGAATTAACACACTTCCTCAGCTTTCATCACTGCTGCCTTCTACTGCCATCTGGTGGACATTTAGCAGAGCACAAGACTATTTCAATCTGACACAAGATGGCGCTCAAACAGTCCCCATTACGGCTCCTCGATTCATTTAAGGGCATATTTGACCAACGCTTTAGTTTAAATAACAATTCACACTATTAAATACTGACTTATTACCTGATAATTCTGAAGATGAGCACTTATAAAGATCTTATTCTAGCCCTACACAACACCAAACCCAACTACACCTTAATAACTATTAATAAGCAGCTACTTTAAGAGTTTATTGAGCTTATAGTGAGTTACAGAGTCCTTTTCACATCCACAAAACCAAACAAACACAAGCTGGTTCAGATCTGGGGTGTTTTCCAGACAGCAGGTTGTGGCATTATACCCTGGTCAGTTTAAGGGTGATGACTTTCATGATATTCAACATACTCTGTGAGGATAACCTGCTCTGGAATAAAGATATCTTATATGCGGTGTGTAACAGCTCAACCATACAGAATTATTTCAGATTGATCTTATATTGAACACATATTCTGTACAATGTCTTGTTTCCTCTGTCAGAGAGAATAACCGCAGACCTCTTAAACACACACTGACACTGTTTTACTGTCAACTTTCTCTCTTAAAAGTGTCAATGTGAATCATTTAGAGCAGAAATCAAGCTGAATCTTAATGTAATCAGAGGTCTTGTTAATTCCACACAGTTTCTGGAGGACAGAACAGTGCTGCTCTGATCTAGTAGTCTAGACGCCTACTGAGTGCCCTAGTTTGAACTCCAGTTTGCTCTTATCGTTCTCTAATTAATGATTTTGGGGTCATTAATATGCACACATCAGAAGTGTTTGATTAACCACAACATTTCATTACATCATTATTAATAATTAGCCTGTGTTGTGGAGATTGAACACAAGATAGTACAGTAATGGCTTAATAAAACAATCCTCAAACAAGCTTACATTATTAAACAGTGACAGATTTGCTTCTAGCGTTAGTCTTGTAGTGACAGAAACAGCAGTGTTGTCTCCTGAGGTGTAATAATGGTGTGTTTCTAACAGCTGAAGTTTAAACAATAAAGATCCTTCTCCATATCCTGCTGTTCAGGGTTTATTCATCAGTTTGCCTGGTTGTGTTCTCATACTCACGGTCTGACTATATCAAGCACTCATCCATCACACAGGAGGGTTCTCATGCTCTTTACCACGGTCAAAATAAGTGCTGTGCTGCTCTTGATTACACACCTGTCGCTCTCTGTCCTATTCAGCGCCGCCCAGTGGTCAAACACAGAATTACAGCACAACACACACACGAGCTCTACAAGTGTGCTGTTGTGTTGCTGCACTGATCATATCGTGATGTGTGACTGCAGCATTATCCTCTTATCTTCAGCATTTTCTGTACATGTTTTATTATTTGACCACACACAGATAAAGTGATCAGACTCAAGGGCTGCCGTAATAATATTTATAATATGACCTAAAATATGTGTTCATGGCGTCTCCTGGTTAAGTCAGATTTTCTGTCTTGGTCTAAATATAACTTAAGTTAGACATGTTTAGCCATGATGTCTTTAACTGTGCCAGACAAATCAGGCATTAACAGTGATCTGCCTTCATTTGTAGTGTGTGTCAGAGACAGTGGACGTGAGTAAATTATCAGGCAATGTTTATTCTGGAAATGAACCTTTAACCGCTTCCAGAATATAAAATATACACCAGATTAAGCAGAAATCACCCCAAACAGAGTCATGTATCTGCTCCTCCACATACTTGAGTGTGTGCAGTGTGTAGTTTGGATCCTCCAGTTGTTCAGAGAGCAGCTTGACTCCTGAATCTCCTGGATGATTGTAGCTCAGATCCAGCTCTCTCAGGTGTGAGGGGTTTGAAGTCAGAGCTGAAGACAGAAAACCACAGCATGTGATGATGAATGCGATGAATTCATGCGAAGAGATGAATGCGAATGCACTACACCCTTTAGAATTAGGAGATTACAGTTCGGGGAATTACTGTAAATAATTAAACAATATTTGTGTACTGTAAATATGTAAATATGAGTAAAATATCACCTGAAGTAATGTAGTCTGGCCTCTGAGAATGTGCTACATCCTTAAGAATGAGAAAATATCAGTTTGGTGAAGTGCTGTAAGTGTTTTTCACAGTGTTTTTTTTAGATTAATTTAAATATTGGACAAATCCCACCTGTAGTACGTCTGTTTATCCCCTAGAAATGTGCTACACACTTCAGAATGAGAATACTACATTGTTA